CATGGAAACACCCCCCCCCCCCACCTCCCCGCCCCCAGGGCTCCACTCCCCTGGCAGCCCCACAGGATAATGGGGGGCCCCCACCAGCACCCCCACCCCCAGCGTGGGCGCTGCCCCTGCACCAAGGCAGGAGGAGCCACTGGAGACAGGCTGGAGGCAACGAGGCTCACACCCCCCATCTGGGGGTTCAACAGGATCCAACACCCCAAAGATCCCTTTGATGGAAGCTGAGGCTAAAACCTCCTCCCTGTGGTCATCCAGCCCCACTTCCCCTCAGGAGGCCACGGGAGCCCAAACAGGGGCTGGTAACGTCACCAGCCACCCAAGGAATCCAGCAGTAGGAGGCAGGTGCATGAAACAGCCCTGTCAGCAGCCCAGCCTGCCGAGCACAAGGAAATTCATGGAAAAAACATCAACAGCGTCAGCCCTGGGGGAAAACATAATTTAAAAAAGCAGAGCTGAAAGGGCAGGGAACCTCTTCAGCGGGTGGGTGGCAGACCCTCGCCATGGCCCCCATGCCCCATGCCGCCGCTGCCTAAAGACAAGATGAACCGGCATGGAAAAGAGCCAGGAGGGAAAAGCCCAGGATTTGGGGATGCCGCAAGAGACGTGCTGGGGGCACAGAAACTGTCCATGGGCAGCGCAGAGCGGGAGGAGACGCCGGGACAGGACACTGCTCCACGGGAGCGGGGAGAGGCACGGGACAAGCAGCCCGGAGCAGGGGCAAAGTATGTGGCCGGCAATGGGGAGCTCAGGGGCCAGGGTGAGCACCACAACTGGGCTCGCAGTGGGGGCCTACAAGCTCCACATGCCCTTGAGAGGGTCAAGGACCCCCCCAGCTGCAGCCCCGGGGTAGCGGGCGCCCCACGAACCCACCGACAGTCCCACGCCGTCGGGCCCCCCCAAGCACCCAGGACAGTGGGTCCACAGTGCTCTCTGCTCCTTCCCGGGGCTCCCCGGCATCCCGAGGCCGGGGGTGAGCGGCAGTAAGGAGGCGGCGGCGCTGACGCACGCCTCCCCGCCGGAGCCGCGCCGGGTGGCCACAATCTGCCTCCGCCATCACCCGCGTGGTCCCGGTCCCCGTCACGCGTCGGTG